TATTCCAGCTGTGTGTGTGTAAATGGTGTGTGTTGTCCTGTAACTCCATCCCTGGTGTTGTGAGCTGACATCTCCCCAAAGAGCTTTCTGCCTTCAGCTGGAACAGAGCCCAGCTGTGTGTGTGTGTGTGTGTGTGTGTGTGTGTGCATGCCTGTGCGTGTACTTGCATGCGTTCGTGTACTTGCATGCATGCGTGTGTGCATAACTTTTCACTTACTGTATGTGTGTCTTTGTGCGTTTCTCTGTAGACAGTGTATAGGAGGAGGGTATAGGGGAGCTTTTCTCTCCCTCCTCTCTCTTGCTCACTGTGTTACCAGGCCAGATGGCTCATGTCACACAGAAGAGAGCGATGGAGAGAGCATAATGAGAAAAGAGGAGCTCCAGAGCTGAGACACCCTCCCCTCAAGACACAACATCTGGAGTCCACCTGCTGCTGTGCCATCCTCCTCTGTCTCTCTGTCTCTCTCTCTCTCTCTATATATATATATCCCTCACAAAACCGATGCGTTAGCATCAATTAGCGACAATATGCAGAACATGTCTTCTACTAGGCTGACACATTGGTGGATGTACACTGAGTATACCAAACATTAGGGACACCTTCCTAATATTGAGTTGCACCCCCTTTTACCCTTAGAACAGCCTCTACAAGGTGTCAAAAGCGTTCCACAGGGATGCTGGCCCATGTTAACTCTAATGCTTCCCACAATTGTGTCAAGTTGGCTGGATGTCCTTTGGGTGGTGGACCCTTCTTGATACACACGGGAAACTGTGAAACTGTTGAGCGTGAAAAACCCAGCAGCGTTGCAGTTCTTGACACAAACCGGTGTGCCTGGCAAGGACTACCATACCCCGTTCAAAGGCACTTACATTTTGTGTCTTGCCCATTCACCCTCTGAATGGCACACATGCACCATCCATGTCTCAATTGTTTCAAAGCTTAAAAATCATTATTTAACTGGTCTCCTCCCCTTCATCTACACAGATTGAAGTGGATTTACAAGTGACATCAATAAGGGATCATAGCTTTCACCTCGTCAGTCTATATTATGGAAAGAGCAGGTGTTCTTAATATTTTGTATACTCTATAGATCGGGTTTGGTTAAGGAAGTCATTGAAAACAAGCTTCCTAATCAAACTATCTTTGTCATTGATATGTTAGGCATAGATGCAATTTCTAACATTAATGTCAATTAATGGTTTTCCATTCTCGCACACTGAAGTGGTGTTTGTGTTTGTTCCTAGAAGGTTGTGTTGTGGTTGTAGAATAACCTCTAATTGAAGGCAGACTTGTTAACCTGTATTTATAAATCCTGTTAAGTCCTGTTGTAGGGCATTTTGTCAGTGAGCTCCATCTGTGGCTTAAATGTACTCCTTCAGACTACTAGCCCTAGAAGTAAACAATCTGTTAGTCCTTTTTTGGGGTTTAGAACAGCACTGAGGCTAATTAGACTGTTACAGAGTGCAAGTGTGTTTAATACCTTGATTACATTGTGCCTCAATGTAATCAAGGTATGAAATTATTGTATTTGAAAATAACAATCATTTCTTACCTTGATTACATTGAGACACGATCACATCTCCTTTTTTATTTGTGGGAATACTTGGGAACTGATTTCCTACATCAAACTCATTTTTAGCTGAATTCCTGGTGAATTTTTGTTTGTTTTTGACCAAAACTAAAATCCCCCTCACCCGGTTTTGGCCCGTTGCCGACCCCTGCTCTACAGTGTGTGCATTCTAGCAGGGGAAGCTCAGCTCTATACTCTCCCTCTGTGTCTCTGACCTGGTTTTGTCTGACTGAGTTTGGCTGAGAATTCATTAATCCTTCACTGCTGTCACTGCCACCAAGACCACTGGAGGAGTGGGTTCAGAAAAGGGTTAACTGTGTGCGTGTGCATGCATGTGTGTGGGCACGTTTGTATGTAGGTGTGCATGTCCTATGGTTGTGTACGTCAATGTATTGTCATGACAAACTTGGTGACACAAGCCACCAAACCATGCGAGGTTGTGATCATTTAAGGGACAACATGCAGCTGATTGTAGGAGAGGTTACTTTCCTGGGAATATGCTCGAAAACATGCCAGTGATATTTCTAGTTTTTCCAGATTTCCAGTTCTTTGTCGACGTAACCCTTTAGTAATCCTTAACCGCAGTCTCATTCTTTTCTTCCTTGTTTTTTTTTGTGTATGCATGCACACACATTTGTGTATTTCTGTTTATTTGCCCTTGTGTGTCTGTTACACTTAATGTTGGCAGGTGATGATGTTGATATTTTACTGCAATCTTTTGTTGATCCATTAGACATTAGGTGGACAATGCAGGTTTCAGAGAAGAACACACCATATGTGTACTTCAGTGATTGGGTGTGAAAATAAATGGGATGTTTTGTGAAGAATGGGGGAAGGGGGAAGCAGGAGGGAAATAACAGTGTGAAAAGGAGGGAGAGGGAAAGTGGAAAAAAGGGGGCTGGCGGTCTTAAAATGCAGTGAAGGCCAGATCACAAATAATAAAACTGAGCGAAAGGGAGAGTGGGGGAAAGGGGGAAGGGGGAAGGGGGAAAAAAGAGGGGAGGAAAATGTGTTGAGTGCAAGCAGAGCGAACGGAAGAGTGAGTCGTCCGCGCCAGGAGCGCCGCACCACTCGTTTTGACTGGAACTCGTTTAGGGATTTTCTTTCTTTTCATTTTCCTCTTTTTTTCCCTGCGTAGCTGAGGCTCTCTGGTTTGCTCTGTCTTTTCTTTCTTCCTTTCTTTCTTTCTCGCTCTCGGCCTCACACAAAGGCTGGTGGAGAAAGCCTGCGATCTAAATAGCCAGAACGGAGCGTGCAGTAGGGTGGGAGGGAGAGAGAGAGAGAGAGAGAAAGACAAAGACGGAGACAGAAGATATTTGCGATCCACGAGAGGAGAAGAGAGGAGATTGCTGGCGGATGCTGACTGGAAAAGAGCGGTTTATGCCCCGGAGGTAAAATAAGTGACGCTTCTTCTCAGTCCGAGACTATTCATAATCCAACCAACCTGACCCCCCTGCCCTGAACCCCCTACTGCTCCTGTCACCCCCCACACGGCTCGCAAGGATGGAACAGCTGAGGGGAAGGTGAAAGGTGCTTTTGGACAACGACTGACAGATAGAGACTGAGCAAGAAGAAAGGAGAGAGGGAAAAGGAGGAGAGGAGGGAGGGGGTAAAAGAGAGGAGGCGGCGGAGGGGATACCCTCAGGACACACTCGGAGAATCCCCCCTGCCCACTTCTCTTTTTTTTATTTCCTTCTGCCACTGCCATGTGCCTCTATTAATCTGAAGAATGTGGAGACCGCATTTCCCAGGCAAGAAGCATGTTTCCTGTTGGTTGTTCTCTCTGTGTGTGTGTGTGTGTGTGTGTGTGTGTTGTGTGCGCGCATGTGTAAGTGTACCTGTGTGGGGTGTCATGTATGGGAGCATGTGTGTAGAGGGGGGTCTGTAAAGGCTTGAGGCAATTGAACCTCAATTTGTCTGCAATGAAGTGTGTCATGAAATAATGTGTGTGTGTGTGTGCATCTGTCTCTCCACTTGGCTTGAAACCAGTGAACCATGTAAATCAAAGGGTAGGAAAGCGAGTGAGTGAACAGAGAAGATCGAGGGGGGGTTGTAATTGGGTGTCGGGAGTGTTGGGGGGTGGTCATTGAAGAATGGTTGTGCGTGTTACCAGTAGTATGAGTGAGTGATGTCTGTGTTTGTGGGGTGCATGATCTTATACAGTGTTTAGCTCCTTTGTAAACAGTATGTAGTTATTACCACAATAAATCCCAGAGAGTCTGTGTCTACATGGCAGGCAGTGCTGTGTGTGTGTGTTTTTTCCTCCCTGTGGTGTATATACGGTCCATGTGTGGTAGTTCCCTGTGTAAAGAATGCCAGTGTGGTTGAATGGGAGCTGAAGTGTGCTGTCCACTAGTCGCCTGCTTTTGTCTCTGGCCCCCAACTGTGCTCTAGAAAGGGAGCCTCGCTGAGGAAGCACAAAGGCTGCCATTTAGGAAGAAGGACCTTCTTTCACGTCTTTCTCCCTCTCTCTATCATGGTCTCGTTATATCTCATTCGTTCTCCCCCTCTCCAGCTCCTCCACTCGCTCTTATTTCCCTGTATCTCTTCTCCCTTTCTTTCTCTGGCCCCCCTTTCTGCCCTCTCTTTCTTTTGGCAGGGGAGTGGTTGGTTGGTGGGGCTGGTAACAGGGCAGGGGCAGCAGGGTGGTGATGAGTGGGGAAGGATGGCAGGCAGAGGGAGGACAAGCAGGGGCTTTGTGTGTCTACAGGGGGGATAGGGTGTGCTGGGAAGTGTGAGAGGGGGCAGGGCGCCGATATGGTCCAGATAGGGTCTGGAAGGGAAAAACCTGCCAACAAAAGAAGATGATATGCTCTTTACCCTCTTGCTCTCTCTTTCTCTCTCTCTCTTGCTCACACACAAGCATATACACACACAGTATGTACCGTAGCTCATGTTCTGACCCCGTGCTGATTCATGCTGTACAATAGTGAGTCCTGACCTTTTCCTTATTTATTCTATATAGGGGGTTAGAGGAGGGGCACCGGGAGGCTGTGTTTTGTGTGTACATGAATGCACACATGCATGCATGTGTGTGTGCATATGTGTGTGCCTCTGTGTGTCCATGTGTATTGTGTGTGTGTGCTTTTTTTATTTGATGCATGTGGATTGGGAGCTGGCCCTCTGAGGCAGTGCAATGTTCCAGTGCTCTGGCAGAGCTCCAGTAGAAATGAGAGGAAACTCCAGAGAGAAACGCTGCCATGTCACTACCCATCCACGTACTGTCTCTGCAGCAGGACTTAAACCATGCTGCTTTTGGCTACTGACCAGCCATAGACACACGTTACTCTTATTCATGCTCCTGGAATATATTGATACACAAAGACATAACACATTCACATACCTCTCGTTTGTTGTTTTCTTAGTTGGAGTCAGAACCTCTCTTTCTTTCGGTGTGCCAGTTTTGGAGGCCTGTTAGTTTGAGTGAAGATGTCTGTCTCACCACTGGTTGCCATATTGAGTCAGGAGAGTGAGACCCCCACTCTGAGCCAACCTGTAACCGTGGCCTCAGCTAGGGAGTTGCTAGGTAACAAGAACCAGCTGTTGGTCCTAAGCCATTGAGCCCCTCTTGGCTCTTTATCTACATTAGGAAAGAGAGCAGATTCTATAAAACCCCATTCTGAGCTTGGCGACAGCACAGCGGCATAGCCCTGACATCACCGCGCCATGGAAAATCCTCCTCACTTCCTTTTGTTTTCTCAGTTTTATCGTTCAACGGGCTGGTAACTAGAGGCCAGGGTAGATGTATTGAACGTATCACACACATACTTTAGCCATTGGGGCTGTGTTTTGTCACCTTTCTCACACTTATCCATGAAAGAGAATTAGAGAAAGGCAGAATGAGAGTGGATGGATGATGAAAGCCAGGGGGTGGTTTAGATTGAAAGAGACAGCTATTCCCATAATTAGGGATGGGGGTTTGAAAGAATTGTACTATTCGAATAGAATCATACATTGTTGGCGGATATCAGGGTATTCGAAATACATGTATTTTTTGTATATTAGTTATAACTTTTTTTTTTACTTACGTTTTTAACCTGAGCACTGCTGTTCTAGGGAGAGAGGCTGGCGCTCTATTGATGCAGCTGTGGAGGTGCCGGTGTATGATCAGATGGGAGCGAGCAGACGGATGGAGAGAGAGGCAACTCGGCTACAGACAAGACTAGCTAACTTGTAGCAGCCACAATGTTATTTATCATCCCATATAACAGTGTCTGTCTTGACTAGAGTAGCCAGTTAGCTAGCTAGCTAGGCTATTTGAGGCCACATGCTGCGCTTTCTACTCAATTATTCAGATAAAACAACAGCCTACCTGTTGGTTGCTCATTGTAGCCTACTCCTTCTCATTTTGCTAACTTTTTATTCCATAATTTAATTCCATCTTGCGTTGCATTAGTGAACTAACTCTCCACTAGCTACACATTGAGCCTCTTTGCCGATTTGATTGGCCAACATAAACAACAAGCTACACAGGTAAAGGCTACCGGTTGGCTACCAGTCTTTTTATGGGGCGCATGTCATAAAAACGCAATTGAAAAGTTTGTTGTTTTATAAAATGTATAATTTGAAATGTCATGGTATATTCTTGTATGCAACAATGTCACATGGATATTTTAATTTAATTTAGAAAAAGCCTTTAATGTATTTTTCTTGCAAAAATGAATACTCACACAGGTATTCGAATACTAACGTCCGGTCAGATATTTGAATAATCGTGCACATTTCTACCCATAATCTGTTGCGGAAAACCTGATCGGAGAACAGGGGGAGTGCAACACTCCCTTAATTAGTCAAACTATCTCACTGTTCTATTAGCAAGTATGCTAAACTGTTTGTTTCCAGATAGGACATTGTTACTGGAACTATGCAGCATGTAAACAACAACGTATCGGGTATGTGAGACAGTCTTTGGTGTCTCAAGGTGGTCCATTTCTACCTCAAAGCTGGGTCTTCTGTCAGGAAACTTGTACTAACAGCTGACCGTTAGTCTTTTAAAGTAAATGTGAAATGAGACACACAGAAATATCACAGCATATCACTCATTCTGTTATTTGAAGGGTACTTAAAGAAGGGTACAAAGTGAGTTAGCTTACAAATGACGGCATACAATAGTATGGCCGCTACTAATGAAATACAACTCAAGTTCCAAGAGAAACGGAAGAGAAACGGAAGAGAAACTGATGAGAAAATTAAAATGAGGGATTGTTTCTCAATTGTTTTGCTCTCTTTAGGAAATTATTCTCATCTGTGACTCATCCTCTGGCAGCGGAGAATAAGAACTATGATCAGGCTTCCAAATGGGAACTAGACACCCCATCGTATTCTCTGAGGGAAAAGCACATTTCTATGAATGTTTTTTCTATTTATTTTGTCAGAATCCAAAAAGGTTTTTAGTGGCAGAACATCTGGGCTTTATCTGTGGATGGATGCTCATGTCTCTCTGCTCTCTGACAGCTTCGTTCATACTGGCCTGGTGTCAATCTCAAGCTCATCTCGGGAGCAGTATCACAACCACACTGCATGGTGGTGACACACTTCCTTGTGAGTCTCAGAGCAACGTCATCTATTGGTTGTGTTAGTGTTCTTTGATAATAATGCAGAGGAAATAGAGTAAAATTGTCTACATTTGTTTCCACTTAAGCACATAGACCATAGGCCAAATAGTATCTCCTGTATTTACGTAGCTCAGGGTGTAGTAAATGATTATCTATTAACTATGAAGTGTATCAACTTGGTGGCTTCAAAAGTTACAGTGGCATCTTTATCCACTAAAACAAAGGGCTCATTTAATATTTTCTCCCTCAAAATGAGCCTAATATCTTGTCTACTGTGTAGGCTCTCCACCCTGTTTTGACTAGTGTTTACCCCTGCACTGGTTTCCTATGACACAGGTGTTGGGTGGGGCTCAGGCTAGTCTGCCAAATTCCCATGGTGCTAAACAGACCAGTGCATTTAGCACAGAGGAGGGTGAGACACATTGCCAGGCTGGATTATAAGTCTGTAAGTGCTGATCCAGGACCAGCTGTGGTGGTGGGTTTGATTGGACACACAACTGTAACTTCATGTTTGGTTCCCGGAATGCACAGGTTCCTGGCGGCGGATATCAGGACCCACAACTAGGAACTTCACAGTTTGCCCTGGGTACGGCCTTGCACCCGATCCTTGGGATGTTAGCTGGCACAAATGTAGATCTCCTGAGCTAGTTTTCATTTCAGTGATCCTCAAGGGAGAGAGTCAGACCCTATTAGCTGTCTGTTCCTGGTAGCAAATTGGTTGAGAATCACTGCTTGGGTAGCTAACACAAGTCTTGGTGTCTCTGGCAATGTTACTTATCACATGAGTGTGGTTCATAGAACCACGTGGGTTGCATAAGCACTGGTCCTGGACCAGCTGTGGTTATGAGATCCCAGAGGACATATCAGTTCTGTAATGATGTGGGATCCCATGGGGAACAGAGCTAGCCAACAAGAGCAGCTGGACTGGATGAATCCACTCCAACTGTGTGTGCGTGCCTGTGAGCAGTGTGTGTGTGTGTGTGTGCTGGTGAGTTTTTGCACATGTGTGTGTGCGTATCTGTTCATCTTCACTCTATTTTCAGATTATCCAGAACATGTATGCATACATTAGTATTGCATTATGGCATTAAGAACATACTGGTACAGTATGGAGCTGTAGCACATTTGACGTGATGTGACTTGCATTTCATAGAAGGTGGAGGCGTGACTTGCCTTTCATAGAAGGTGGAGGCGTGACTTGCCTCATGTTGTTTTCTCCCAGGCTGCTTTAAGAAGCTCTTCAGAATTTTTGACCAGGTATTAGGTCCTCATTAGGCTCTCATTAGTAGCTAATTAACCAGCAATTTATCATGTATTTAGCACAGCTTCTTATTCGGTCTTATTAGGGTGCTGAAAGTCTATTAGCCACAAGGTAATAATGAATCATAAGTATATTGACCCACTTCCTACAGTGTTGCCAGTTTTCCGCCAGCCTCTTATCTGTGTGTGTGTGTGTGTGTGTGTGTGTGTGTGTGTGTGTGTGTGTGTGAGAGAGAGAGAGAGAGAGAGAGAGAGAGAGAGAGAGGGAAGTAGGGGGAAGAGAGATACAGAGAGAGAGAGAAAATATCTTCTCAACCACTAGGCCTATAGGACCTGCACACTGCAGCAAATACACTACATGGCCAAAGATATATGGACACCCCTTCAAATCAGTGGATTTGGCTATTTCAGCCACACCCGTTGCTGACAGGTGTATACAATCGAGCACACAGCTATGCAATCTCCATAGACAAACATTGGCAGTAGAATGGCCCGTACTTAAGAGCTCAGTGAGACAGAGAGAGAGAGAGACCCTCTGCTCCCGGCTAATAGGGTATTTGAAAGAGGTTGTTTTTATCTGTGCTATGTTAATGGGGGGTATTAGGAGACTCTGGTGTGTGTCTGTGGAACAGTATTTTACTTCAGAGCACCCTGCATAGTCCCTGAACTGTGCAATGTATAGCTATATTGACCACTCTTCCAGGGATATTGATGCTGTAGGTGCCCTATTCACTCAATTGTAAAGAGCAATATTGTCATGGCAATTTCCTTCCTCGGCGCTCCTTCATGTACAAGGCTGTGAGAGTTGATTTGACACAGTGAGAGGCACAGAGACACTAGCCCATGATCAAATCTATGCACTAGCCTTTCCCAACTCCTCCACACTCACATGGCTTAGTGGTGACCTCAGTGGATACTGGCTGTCTGTCACAGCTGTGACATTATACAGGATGTCTATAGGTGCTCTATAGGGTGTACTGTATGAAAATATGTTTCTCATTCAGCGCTATCCCTACCATCACCTTATGATTTTAACCTCCCTGGTTCCTGCCACCAAGACAAATTTCATACATTTATTAGGCTGGATTCAGTTTAGGATGTTGTGGTTAGCTGGGTTTTGTTATTGCTAAAAACTAATGGAAAACCAAAGAGTGTTATCGTAAAGCACATTATTTTGGTGTTACATTCTGACACATTTCTATGTATTCTCTTTTGTATTCCTGATGCTATCTTGTGTTCTCATTCAACGGGCACAGGGTACAGTTCTTGCGACAGAGTGCTGAGAGAAAATCTCAGATCTGCTCCCCAGCAGCACAGATGCCACTAAATAAAATATTTCATAATCCTGCCCAAATCCTGTAATCACCATGACAACAGCAGTAGGGAGCGAGGGAGCGATGGAGGAGTGGTGTGAACTTCCCCACTTTCCTTTTTTTTGTTCCATTCTGTCCAGTCACTCTTCTCTTTTTCTCTCTGTCTCTTCTTGAATTGTATCTCGGGAGTTGGCTAGGTACTGTAGCTCACTGGTGTGTTACCGTTGAAGCTCCAGGGATGATTCATTGGTGTTATTATGAGGTGTGTGGAGAAGGTCGAGATATTGTGGTCTATAGTATGAGACTGTAACAGATACAGAAGACAAGTGTGTGTGTGTGATTGCTTAGGTGTGTGTGCATACATACACACACACACACACACACACACAAACTGCCCCTGCAGGGTTGTGATATGGTGGGAGTGACCTCATAAGGTGAAAGGCCTTGTTCCCTGGTGTCTGGAGTTACCGGGAGTCACATCATGAGACACAGAAGAGGTGTTGGTTATTTCAGGAAGTGTTGAGTGTGTTATTGATCTGTCTTACCAGGTTAGAGGGAGATGATAGTGAAGAGCACTCAGTTCAGTTTGAGTTAGAGCATTCATTGTACCAAACTGTCAGTCTTCACAGTAAATATCTTGTGTATGTGCATGTGCATGCGTGTGAAGATTGCATACGCACATCCAATGTCTTTGACAAGGTTCTGTCCTGTTAAAAAGAGACTCCACACACGGCAATCTATACTCCCATGTGGTTTATTGTTGACAATGTTCTGACCCTTGAGGTTTTCATTAGGTTTCCTGTGTCGTGTGTCTTACAGTACTCTACTGTAACTGCTGTGTGTGCTTTAGGGAGGCTTCATAATTAACACCTCTCTCCCTCTCTCTCTCGCTCTGTCTCTCGCTTTGTAGGTATCCGGCCCCAGATCATGAATGGGCCCATGCACCCTCGCCCCCTAGTGGCCCTGTTGGATGGACGTGACTGTACAGTCGAGATGCCTATCCTCAAAGACCTGGCCACTGTCGCCTTCTGTGACGCCCAGTCCACACAGGAGATCCATGAGAAGGTACAACACACACTTACCCACGTACGCCCACTCTTTCACGCGCTGGCACGCACACACACGCACACACACACACGCACACACACACACACACACATACAGGCACACGTTACACACTACACACTGAGACTACATGGGCTTCCACAAAAGAATAAGCCTTAACAATGTGCATACCCTCAATTCAAACTGTAGCTCTTTTCATGCCCCCCCCCCCCTCCTCCTCCCCCTCTCCTCCTCCTTTTCCCCCTTATTCACCCCTCCTCCTCTCACTCTTCTCTTTCTGTAACATAAAACTGATATTGCAGTACAGTATATTGGCTCTCCCAGTGATTTCATTATGATTTCATGTCATTGGGTGTCAGTGTGCTCCTCCTCTCCTCTGGTTGTTAAATAGAGAGGCTGGTTATGAGAAAGGAATGTCATAGTATACTGAGCTAGCTATATCTGCAATATACCAGTGCAAAATAAAATCTTCCCCTCTTCATGTAAAGTACTAAATGTGCAAAAAGGTTGTTAAAGCTGCAATATGTCACTTTTTGGGCGATCAACCAAATTCACATGTGAGTTATAAATCATTATAATTGAAAGCAAGTCTAAGAAGCAGTAGATCTGTTCCATGTGCTCTATTTCTATGCTTCCCGTTCTTAAGTTAAGTTTTTGCATCTTTTGCTTTCAGTTTTGTTCACCAGCTTCAAACAGCTGAAAATACAAATTTGGTTATAGAAAATATATTGCACAGCGGTTTAGATGGTACAATGATTCTCTACACAATGACTGCTTGTTTTGTCACAAACTGACATTAGGTGAACTATTAGAGCGTAGCGATTTCTGCATATTGCGTCTTTAACAAAGCAAAACAATTTCCATATATTGTGTATGTTGACCTTACAGTTTATCAGTGTTGAAAACCCTAATAATCAGTGATAATCAAATTGCCTGTGTTCTTGTTAACACGGTTTGTTGACATATCTTTTGTCAGCAAAGGACATTTTGAACCATTAAAAAATATATATTTGGGTGTGATGCACAGAGAGAGCGAGTGAGATTGGAAAATAGAAAGGGTTGGATGGATGGAGGGAAGGAAGGAGAAAGTGAGAGGAAAAATAGGACCCGGGTTCTGTTGACCACTTTTGACACGCTTCTCTCTGGACCCTGGCCGCTCCCCTGCTCACACACACCAAGGCCTTTCTGTCCAAACAGCTATTGTTTGCGCATACATTACACAGCGAGGCTGCCTGGCCTGGGTGTAGAGATATTGACAGAGCTCCCGCCTTTGTCTACGAGTCAGCAGAGACAGCAGAAGTTGCACTTCACACACACGAGAGGAGAAATGGCCGACACTCACATGCAAACAAACCACTAACGTTGGCTCAAACACACAGGCTCAAATACAAACAAACTCATACACACACACATGCTGACTCACATTTACACATACACACACTTCACCTCTCATACACACAAATTCACACACTTTCATCATACATACTGAAACACACACGCTGCTGCCTCTGCATGCATCGCCTGAGAAAGATGAGCCAAGTTAGTTCCCTGACAGGAGCCTGAATCTGTATGTTACAATGACTCACTCATTTCAAAGCAATGCTAGCGTGCTCTCATCATGTTTTGGTGCTGACTTATCACTCTATGCTGTGTTGTGTGGGCAAAAGGGTTAGCATGCTAGCATGTTATCTTTCCCTCTGATGTCAGAACAATGTAAGAAGTTTAACCATCTGTTTGTGGACTTGATACCATGAGTAAGTGAGTGAATTGATACAAATGAGTCTTTAGCATTATATCAGCTTTTATCTGTACAATAGAGTGGTGTACCGATACCACTCCACCCCCACACAAACTCTCCTCGCATAATTTTGAAAAACTTTCCTGTTAACATCTATTGGGTTGAGTCCATCCAATTTTTTTACATTTTAGTCATTTAGCAGACGCTCTTATCCAGAGCGACTTACAGTTAGTGAGTGCATACATTTTTCTTACTGGCCCACCGTTGGAAACGAACCCACAACCCTGGCGTTGCAAGTGCCATGCTCTACCAACTGAGCTACAGGAGGCCTAGATAACATCTCCCTTTTGAAGACAATGGTATGGAAGGAACATAGAACTGGATCCTTGACAAAGAGCTTAGAGAAAATGTATGTGAAATCAAATAGAGATTGTAATGGAAGCAGGACGGAAATATCGTTGTGTCATTTCAAGTCAGGAATCATAATTCTTAATCAAAGTAGTTATTGCGACAAATTATAGATTTTGTTCTTAATTTGAGAATAAAAAATTCAAAATAAATGATTTTAAAGGTTTTAATTAAATTAAGACATACTACAGTGGGGAAAAAAAGTATTTAGTCAGCCACCAATTGTGCATGTTCTCCCACTTAAAAAGATGAGAGAGGCCTGTAATTTTCATCATAGGTACACGTCAACTATGACAGACAAAATGAGGAAAGAAAATCCAGAAAATCACATTGTAGGATTTTTTATGAATTTATTTGCAAATTATGGTGGAAAATAAGTATTTGGTCAATAACAAAAGTTTCTCAATACTTTGTTATATACCCTTTGTTGGCAATGACACAGGTCAAACGTTTTCTGTAAGTCATCACAAGGTTTTCACACACTGTTGCTGGTATTTTGGCCCATTCCTCCATGCAGATCTCCTCTAGAGCAGTGATGTTTTGGGCTGTCGCTGGGCAACACGGACTTTCAACTCCCTCCAAAGATTTTCTATTGGGTTGAGATCTGGAGACTGGCTAGGCCACTCCAGGACCTTGAAATGCTTCTTACGAAGCCACTCCTTCGTTGCCCGGGCAATGTGTTTGGGATCATTGTCATGCTGAAAGACCCAGCCACGTTTCATCTTCAATGCCCTTGCTGATGGAAGGAGGTTTTCACTCAAAATCTCACGATACATGGCCCCATTCATTCTTTCCTTTACACGGATCAGTCGTCCTGGTCCCTTTGCAGAAAAACAGCCCCAAAGCATGATGTTTCCACCCCCATGCTTCACAGTAGGTATGGTGTTCTTTGGATGCAACTCAGCATTCTTTGTCCTCCAAACACGACGAGTTGAGTTTTTAACAAAAAGTTCTATTTTGGTTTCATCTGACCATATGACATTCTCCCTATCCTCTTCTGGATCATCCAAATGCACTCTAGCAAACTTCAGACGGGCATGGACATGTACTGGCTTAAGCAGGGGGACACGTCTGGCACTGCAGGATTTGAGTCCCTGGCGGCGTAGTGTGTTACTGATGGTAGGCTTTGTTACTTTGGTCCCAGCTCTCTGCAGGTCATTCACTAGGTCCCCCCGTGTGGTTCTGGGATTTTTGCTCACCGTTTTTGTGATCATTTTGACCCCACGGGGTGAGATCTTGCGTGGAGCCCCAGATCGAGGGAGATTATCAGTGGTCTTGTATGTCTTCCATTTCCTAATAATTGCTCCCACAGTTGATTTCTTCAAACCAAGCTGCTTACCTATTGCAGATTCAGTCTTCCCAGCCTGGTGCAGGTCTACAATTTTGTTTCTGGTGTCCTTTGACAGCTCTTTGGTCTTGGCCATAGTGGAGTTTGGAGTGTGACTGTTTGAGGTTGTGGACAGGTCTTTTATACTGATAACAAGTTCAAACAGGTGCCATTAATACAGGTAACGAGTGGAGGACAGAGGAGCCTCTTAAAGAAGAAGTTACAGGTCTGTGAGAGCCAGAAATCTTGCTTGTTTGTAGGTGACCAAATACTTATTTTCCACCATAATTTGCAAATAAATTCATTAAAAATCTTTCTGGATTTTTTTTTCTCAATTTGTCTGTCATAGTTGACGTGTACCTATGATGAAAATTACAGGCCTCTCTCATCTTTGTAAGTGGGAGTACTTGCACAATTGGTGGCTGACTAAATACTTTTTACCCCCACTGTATGTGCAACATTAAATAAGGTAGTGAACAAATGGAATACATCTGTTTTTATCTTCTTTTTTTTTTTTACAACCCTGCATTGAAACCAAATCCTTTAACCTGCAAATATGCTATCTTCATTCTAGGTATTATAATAGCTACTAGGCTACTGCATGTCTTTCTCACAGGAAACATCAACATACAGTATAGCCACTTAGTATTTCCTCAGAATGCATGTTAAGCAAGACTTTGCTTATGGACGTAAGGAAACGTTAGCACCATTGGTAATATTATTAAAAACATACATTTATATTGTAAAAAAAAACAAAAAAACATTGTACACCAATCAGACCCAAGTATGTGCAAATGTTAACAGGAGGTTGTTTGACAAACCGTGGAGGGTCTATCGGGGTAGTGCACATATACTGTGGGAGTGTTTAAAGATCAGAAGCAGGTGGATGCGTGTATTCTTTCTTGTTCAAGTCATATCACAGTATGCTTAAATTTTTTCTACTACATTTCCCTCTATATAGAGCTGGTTTTACTGATCATCATGGTGATTGAGTGGATAGAAATAGAAGGTGTGTATACAATCTAAAATTGTTTTATTTCCAGTATTAGTCACACGTTACTTGGCTTGCATATAAGCTGCTTTACATCCGGGCCATGACGAGACCAACTGAAGTAGAGTGGAGGCCATGAACCAGGAAGTCCTCAGACAACCCTTCACCTTTGACTCCCAGCCCCAGGTGTAGTTCCTGCTTGAACTCTGGTCCTATATGGTGTCTGAATTCTATTCCTACATAATTATTTATTAACCCATTGAGAGATCGAGTCCTCAGACAGTCAGACACAATCTCTGGACTGCTGTGGAAACAACCCTAGAGACTAAGGCTGGATTCCATTCTGAAATCCTGGTTCCTTCCCTCAGCCCTTGACCTCTCCCTCTCACAGTCATCATGGGACTGGAAATAAAGAATAAAGAAGAGATAAAATGACAATAGCACTCCCTACCCTTCTGGTAGTCTAAGTGAACCCTTTGCTATCTAATTATCTTTCATCCCAGTCCCTTCAGATCTACAAGGAGACAGTTGTCAAGAAAAGAGGCAAGGGAGAATTCTTTGAGAATGGAATGAATCCCTGCTCTGCAACACCTGCTGGACTGGCCTGGAACCTCTCGGAGCCTGTTTCAAAGAACCCTGCCCTGGGGGCTGTCCTATCTGCCTGTCTCCTCCACTGGTGCCTCCCCTGTTGCCTCCTGGCCCTCAGGCTGTCTCTCCTTCTCTTCCATACTCTGTTCCCCTTCCTGTGTACCCACCTTGCTCCCCTCCTGCGTGGGCTCAGGTTCAACTGACACCTGGGAGGTCTCTGGGCTCTCAGGGGCCCCGGAAACCACCTCGTCTGGGACAGGGGAAGGTGGGGTGGGTGTGGAGGGTTGTGGGACCCCCTCCCTGGAGCGATCCTCAGCATGGCCCACGGAGCAGGTCTCACTGTGGGAGTCAGAGCCCCCCGCACCCTCGCGCCAGTACAGCCTCTGTCCTGGCAGTCTCTTGGTTTCCACACCAAACTGCTTTTTTACAACTACTGTATATTTTAATACTGGTCCACCATCATTATAAAAAATAATCACTCGTTCAGTTTTTCCATTTAGTCTGACACATTGCTCAGCGATTACCCCTCTTGCTTAATGGCTCACACAGCATTGGTCATTACAACCCACAGGACGTGTTGTCTCCAGCCAAACTTGCCTCTGGCTAGCAGCACAGCCTAAGCAATTAGATGAATGCATGAGGAGAGCTTTAACCTTGAATTACCATCTAGTGCTGACTCGAGCTAGCTCTAATAAAAATGTTATGGAAAGTCACAGCTATGCTAATCTGGCAGGCCAAGCTAATGCAGTTAGCCAGAGGAGAATTTAAAGCTATTATTTACCCAAAGCGCCTGACAGGGTGCACTTGCTATGCTATCTGGGGATCTGGATAACCATCAATACAGTTTATGACCCTGCCTGTCTCCACCCTCACCTTGTTTCCATATACAGATTCTGATAATGCAGGGCTTTTGATTTGTTTATTCAAAATTTTTAAAGATAATGATGAAATGCCTTTAATGATGATGATGATGATGAAGGTGACTCTCCTTTTCTCTATCAGGTGCTGAACGAGGCAGTAGGGGCCATGATGTACCACACCATCACCTTGACCAGAGAAGACCTGGAGAAATTCAAGGCTCTACGCATCATCATCCGCATCGGCAGCGGCTACGACAACATCGACATCAAGGCAGCCGGAGAGATGGGTAAGAGAGAGAAACCGAGAGGATAGAGGAGAGAGGTATAAGATCAAACTGTATTGATCCTCTAAGGGGACATTTTATTGCATCGGCCAATACGACCGACACAACATAGAAACAGCAACAACAACCCACTGCAGCCAAGACTTTATGGAATGTAGCCAAACCAAACACTACTTGTATACTTCAATACATACCATGTAGTTGAAGCATTATCCCCTAAATACACAGACAACAGCTGTGAAAGCATTGATAAGAAATACTCCCCCACAGATTTCATTTTTGCCCCAGGCATGTCACTTCATAATTAAAACAAAAATCCTCATTAAACATAGTAGCCTGGTGTGAAACGTGTCTTTAATCTTACCTTTTTTTAACTGTTATTATTATTATTATTATGAAAAGCTTCAATTTGAATGAATGTCACTCGTTGCCTTTCCAAGTGGGTACATGTTTCTACATGTTTCTTGGATACTTAGTTGTTCCTTCCATAACCAGCACATTGCTGTGCACAGGGCTTCTACTTATTTTTGGTGTTCTACTTCCCTCATCCTGTCTTCCCTCTCTCTTTGCCAGGCATCGCGGTGTGTAACATCCCATCGGCAGCGGTGGAGGAGACAGCCGACTCCACTCTGTGCCATATTCTCAACCTGTACCGGCGGAACACCTGGCTGTACCAGGCTCTCCGGGAGGGTACACGGGTCCAGAGTGTGGAGCAGATCAGAGAGGTGGCGTCCGGAGCCGCCAGGATCCGAGGAGAAACGCTGGGCCTCATCGGCTTTGGTGAGTCACAGGAGATGTCTGTCTTTGGCAGTAACGCACTCAGTTGTGATAGTCCTTGGTTCACACACACACCACACAGCCATAACATTCTGATCCGCTTCTGACACTGTATTTGTGTGTATGTCTAAAGGTCGTTCAGGGCAGGCGGTGGCGGTGCGGGCCAAGGTGTTTGGCTTCAACGTGATCTTCTACGACCCGTACCTGCAGGACGGTCTGGAGCGTTCGCTAGGTGTTCAGCGTGTCTACACCCTGCAGGACTTGCTCTACCAGAGTGACTGTGTCTCCCTGCACTGCAACCTGAACGAACACAACCACCACCTCATCAACGACTTCACCATCAAACAGGTACACACACTCACATGCATGCATGCATGCAAACATACACACACACACAATCATAAAATAGGCCATCATTTACCATGCACATTACAGTACTGTGTACCCAGCCTCGTGGCCTAGTTGGTGATCAGCACTGCCACCTACAGTCAGCTTTTCATACTGCATGCTGCTATAGAAGTCTAACATCAATTTCCTCTTTGAAATGTGAGGGGCGGTCTCATCAAGGAAGAACCTGGTTAATGTGCTAATTAATGAATTTCAGCTTTTGTCAAGATGAAGGGATCACTTTTATCCACGCTCAATGAATCTCTGTCTCTATCTTTTGGTACACAGAAGTTTTATTCCATTTGCTTTTTGGGATTTGAATCTAAGCTGTTGTTACGAGGAGCATACTGCAGGGCACCTTGGGGCTTTATGGTTGAAAGCACCACTACAGGCACATACTGTACAAGTGGGCTCCCACATGTGTATTCTCCAGGAGAGGGAATGTCACTTAATCTCATTGCAGATATCTACTTTTGTTTAAGATGCGTCAGGGTGCGTTCCTGGTTAACTCTGCGCGGGGAGGTCTGGTGGATGAGAAGGCCTTGGCTCAGGCCCTGAAAGAGGGCAGGATACGGGGGGCCGCCCTGGACGTCCATGAGTCAGAACCCTTCAGGTGAGTGTGTGTTTATCTGTGTGAATAGATAAGTTAATCAACTCGATTATCCAGTTCACCTTAGCCAATCTCTTTCTCTGGTGTGTGTAGTTTTACCCAGGGTCCTCTGAAGGATGCTCCTAACTTGATCTGTACTCCTCACACGGCCTGGTACAGTGAACAGGCCTCGCTGGAGATGAGAGAGGCAGCCGCCACAGAGATACGCAGAGCCGTCACTGGTACACACACACACACACACACACACACACACTTATCACACTTAGAAACTCATTTGGAGCTGATTCTTTACTGGAATGTTTTGGTTTTTCCGATGCAGGCCGTATCCCAGACAGTTTACGAAACTGTGTCAACAAGGAGTTCTTTGTTACCACAGCTCCCTGGACAGTGGAACAGCAGCAAATGCAGCAGCAAATGCACCCCGAACTCAACGGTGCCGCATACAGGTATCAATCACAACCAAACAGACCATTATGTAGGGAACCCCTATTTTTGGTCAGGTCCACCTCCTCTTGCGTATATATTCCACATAAGCAGGACTTACATTTTTTTATAAAAAGGGGGATACAATTATTTATTGGTACAGCAGGAGTCATTTCCGAGCTCAGAATTGTTTTGTTTTGTTCCCTGTATTCAATATGATAACTTATTGTCTTTTCTATTTAACATTGGTGGTATTTTAGTTTCCGTAGTGGCATATAGTGGAAATGAAGCGCTATGGGGGAAACATTGATTAGTTACTAACTACCATCCCTTGCTATTATTTGTCAGGAAGTCACAGTATTGACCTCTGTCTCTCACCCTATACCTACTGTCTCAACTGGACTGAACTACTTCTCTTACACAGCCGAGTCAACCAAACCATGGTACAGGCCATAGGAACGGGGGGAATGCAAGACAAATTATATACCTAATAGAGAACCAGGTAAATACTACCAATGCTGACCCACAATGATGGGCTCAGGCCCACCTGTGCTGATCAAAGCAGGAACTGCTGTTGGTTTTCATGATACTGAAAAGTATAGTCTGTGTCTGCTTTATTTCCCACCCAATATACCCGCTCTGCCCAACCTCTCATTGCACCCCCCCATTTCCTACCCCAAAACCAACAAATGTGGCCAAACCTAGCCACTTGTACCATGACAAATAATTAAAAAAATCTATTACAAGGTAGCACATAATGGCAACCATTTGATTGTAGGTACAGTCAGCGTTGTATTCCATATTCCTGCACAGGAAGTATGAGGTCTACTTGGGTATATTTGTGACATTTGTATCATTTTCCCTCTAAACCCCCCTTTTTCTCACACAGTTCAGTGTCTGTCCCCTGAAATATTCTGTCAGGAATCTTTCCTTGACCTACCATCCCTAGTCCTACACCATTCCCTTATGCCAAATAGAACTATATTTTGTTATCTGAGTGATTTAGTAAATCAAGATATATTTCTCTGATACGTTTATCAGTTTCCCAAGAACAACAGATGAGGTCTTGTGGTCGTTTTGAATCCAGAATTGACATGTAAGAGTTGAATCAGTTTTCAGATTTCATGATGACTGTTTTGCACCACACTATTTCTCCAATGTGTGACTTCACTTTCTCACCACTGAATTTGATCCTTTGCCTCATTTCTAAACTGAGGCAACACATGTTTTTAAATGTAGCTTATCAGGTTGTTGTAACCTGAGGTATTGTTATGGTACCATGTGACCTCACCAATGTCTCCCTGGCACAGGTACCCCCCTGGTGTGGTTGGTGTGGCCTCTGGTGGGATCCATGGGCCAATGGAGGGGATGGTGCCTGGGGGGGGTGCCCATCGCCCACACCCTTCCCTCCGGTACCCACCCCACCCAGGCCCCGTCCCCCAACCAACCCTCCAAACACGGGGAGCCCATGAGAGAGCACATGACCGAGCCATAACTCTGCATCCAGAGAGGAAGGAGTTCATATATACACAACTGACCCACCCACTCTTAGACCAGCAGACTGATCGTTAGGGTTCACACAGAACACCGGAACCAAGTGGGGACAGTGAATATATTCACAACTGCTAGTCCAAAGTGGGGACCGTCAAAACTCATGTTCAGAGGATCCTCTTTTTTTTTCTTAAAAAAATAAATAAATCCTGTTTTCTGGGACACGTTGTTACCGCATGCCAGAGTTACGGCCCGTCCACCTTGACTGACCCACCAATAGGAGAGCTTGGAAGGACAATGACATCTGTTACTGGCCAGCCTCCAACCCCACCCTGCCCCATTCCATCATTTCAGTTCACGTGTCTATTTTTCTTTCCCCTGTTCTGAGACCACCCTACAAGTGAATATCGGTCTTTCTGTTCTTCAATGTGAAAAAAGAAATGATTAAGAAATGACATAGTTCAGACAGTAGAAAAAGACAATTGGTGTTGCCAATGGCATCAGCAGTCTCAATTGGGACCTCTATACCCTGTCCTAGTCCATCTCTTACCCTGTAGGTTGCTGGCTCCTGAATGTACAGACAGGATTTGATGGACACATCAGGGTTGCCAGATCTCTTGAGCCTCATGACCAGTACGAGACAAAAATAATAAGCCCAAATTGCCATCCAGAAACCAAACTCAATTTAAGTGAATATGGGACCTGAAAACCTTGAGAACACCCAATGTATTATAGAGAAGATTTTGATCTGGTATACTCCTTTTTAGACATCTAGTTTCTCTGAGGAGCTTCTTCAAAGCTCCAGGTTCTGACGCACAAGGGGGATGAGAGACTGTTGTTGTAAAGGTCATGATCGCAATCTTAGACAATGTAAACTTTTAACAGTTGATTAATTGCCTTTCATTCCAACTCCGGATTCAGTAATTACATGTGGTGGTATGTCACAAAAATATCAAAATAAGAAATGCATGCAAAAGCACCTCTGCTTTTACCTGGACCTCCACATCATGGATTTGGACATTGTCACAGGTGTTTGTATGCTAGAGGGCTCTCTTAAAATGTCCTGTTTTTTTTCTCACCAAAAGGACCTACACAGTAGCACCAGCCAGACAGGAAAGGGTTTGGAAGTTGAGGTTACTGACTCAGGAAAAATAACTTTTGCAGAAATCTTTTCCCCCAAATTATGTCTGAAAGAAAAAAAAGTCTGGATCGTTTCACGTGTTTCCACCTTTTCTTCATTGTGGTATTTTTATAAATCAAACCTGTTTTTTGGTGTTCAAGGTTTCTGCAGAGTCCTGTTAGATTTGTATTGCCTAGTTAAATGTTCTTATAATGATAGTATTATGTGAACCACCCTTTTCTTTCTGTTCTTATAATGAAAGCCAGTTGAAGCTCTTGGAGGCATCATGCACTCTGTGAGCAATAGCAACATCCCTAGTGCCCTGACTTTAAAAACCAAACAATCTGTTAGCAGCCCTGTCTTGCTAGTGTGAGTATTTGTACAATTCAGTGCAGTTCAAATTAAAAAATGCTGTTTTATCATGCTCTGTGAAAGGTTTGTGAAAGTGTTTCATTGCTGCTTATTTATGCATACGGTTTATAGACCAATGTATAACTTAATGTAATGACCTTCAGTTGACCCTTTCTGGATTCTGTGGTGGAATGGGTTTACTGGCCACACGGGGTTGCTAGAAACATGTTCCCATAAGAATTTATAAAAATGAGTACCATTATATAATTTTGGATAAATAGTCTACACTTTAATATAGGGATGTCTAAAAAGGAGAGTACTATGTATAACCAGGTGCACCACACGAGTCAATGCATACTGAAACGTTCAAACTACACCATAGAGTTGAAGTTTTATAGACTTCATAAATTGGACATTAAAAATGTTCTTTTTTTCCCTGTCTGTGCCACACGCACTATAGCGAGGTCAGGCTTTTACCTAAATCCACAACTATTGCATAACTACAAAGCAACATACACATGATGCTCAACGTGTGTATAACTAGATTGTAATACACCAAAATAAGTTACAGTACTCAACTCAATGACAAGGAAACCCAACAAAAAGGTATTTCACTGCAAAAGTATGACCACTCATGATTCTTTGGTTTATGTGCAGTCTCACAAATACCTTAAACTTAATTCAAGATGGGTTCACATATAGACAAGAAGCATACATTAGAGGAGAAACACACAGGTACCATGGGTTAAACTTGACAGGGAAGAATAGCAGGACAGAAAAAGAAACATGACGAAACTAGTGTGATTCTGTTTTAATGTCGACATTGAATGCGTCTTACTCTCTCCTCCAAAAAAAGCACCAAACATCCAAATGAGGTACTAAATTACATGAGAACTGAAGTAAACTTTCATAATGGTTATTTTCCTCAAAGCAAAAATGTTTGTGCAACAAACGTCTTCATCAGGATTGAAAGAAATGACAAAACCACAAAAAGAAATCCAGAGAATCAAAGATCTCAGCTCAAAAGCTCCCAAACAAATAAATATGTAGAATTAGTTTGGAGATCAAGAAAATAAAGACTTCATTTTGGCCATTCTGGGTAAACTAATCATCAATGTGTTGGATCTCCTAAACCTTAGTGACACTAGCTTTGAGGTGAAGGGAATTTCCTTTTCAAAGCTTCATAAATTACCTTTATTCAAGCAGTTAGTCATAAATGTGCAGTGCTTAGTATTAAAGGGATACTAAGGGGATTTTGTCAATGAAACCCTTTATCTACTTCCCCAGATGAACCCGTGGATACCATTTGTCTCTGCGTGCAGTTTGAAAGAAGTTGGTAACTGCTAGCAGATACCATAGACTTCTATTCACTGCGCTAACGCTAATTAGGATTGGCTCGCGAAACTACCTCTAACTTCCTTCATACTGGATGCAGAGACAAATGGTATCCCCGTGGGTTCAAAAAATGTATGCACTCACTAACTAAGTCGCTCTGGATAAGAGCGTCTGCTAAATGACTAAAATGTAATGTAAATGGTTCATCTGACTCTGGAGAAGTAGATAAAGGGCTTCGTTGACAAAAGGGCTTCGTCCTAAAGTATCCCTTTAAGAATTAAGTTCATAGTACACAATTGCAGCAGTTCTCTGTTGGGTGCCCTGACCCAAAGATATGTTGGCCTAGACCCTGCCCATCAAAAAACAAGACAACCATTTCAACTGGAAAAACTACTAAAAGGACAGTAATTTTGGGTGTGTTTTCGGCAGTGCCCATAATAAACCGATATAAAGATGTGTTGATTTGAATCGATGCTGGTATATTTCCTTATACTTATTTTTTAAACAACCACATGCATTTACACTTTTGCCTAAAGATTTTACATGAAAATCAATAAAGATCAATAGCATTTGAAAACTACAATCCTTTAGTTCTGATCATCCCTAGTTATTTTTTCTGTCAGTCTCAGGTTTGTCCAGATAGCTCTAAGTGTGTGTCCTCTGCCAGGGTAGAGTGAGGCTCATGATTCCCTCCCCTTTCACAGTTTGTCCATGCCCCTAGGGACCCCGCCTACTCCCGTTTTGTTACTCATCATCTTCCTCACCGTCTGAGAGCGAGGCACAGGGGCGGATCTGTCGGTAGCCGTCCAGCCACTTCTCCACCATCTGTGTGACCAGGGGGTGGTTCCGCCGGCGGGAGCTCTTCTGCATGGCCACCAGCACTCCACCCTCTGTCACACAGCAGTCCAACCACTCCCTGAGCAGCTTCTCCTGCTGCTCCTCATTCCCCATCTGACACACACAGACAAGAAAACCATCAACCATGAGACTACATCTCATACTTTAGAGAATGCTCTCATACTGAGAAAATCGCAATTAGTGCAGCCAATCTCCCTTACTTTTCACATTCCAGTCACTTCACGAGAATAGCAAAATACTTACATACGTTTTACACTATAGTCACTTAGCAGATGGTGTAATCAGCATGAATAGCGAACTTAGCTTGAATTAGCATGAATGACAGAATCCTTGAAAAGCAGCCAGTCGGGGTCCATATAAATATTCATGATACCACAGCGGGAGCTCCCTCCTACCTCTTGTGCTGAGAGAAAGTGGATGTGGAGCAACTTTCTCTCACTGTCTACCAGCGGTAGGAAGGTGACTGTGACGTCATCGTCTGTGTTGAGGTTGGCGCCTGCACCCCGATTGTCGAAGCCGTCATTCTCCATGGCCACCAGTGCAGAGAAGTGGCCGCGGGTGTAGCCCAGAGCGATGGGACTCTTCCAACAGAAACTCTGCTCCCACAGCAGGGGCAAGTACACACCTGGAGAGAGGACAGGGAGGGAAGGGGGTGAGATGAAGAGTGAAGGAGGAAGAGAGGAGGGGGAAATCAAGGGAGGAGGTAAAAGGGACATGGGGAAGGAAAGAAAGAGAAATAGAGAGAGATGACAAACCAAAATGTCAAAACAGGCTGACATATTGCTTACCAACAGTTTCCCAAACACAATGGACAATTTCCCTGAGACTATTCCATCAGCCTCATAACCCACTAGACAGCATCTACAAGTGAATGGGACACTTCACCTTGTGACCATAACTTAAACCACAAACCACTGTTTTTGAGCATCTAGAACAGTTACTATCCCTCACTGTTCAACCGTCTGCCATTGTGTGTTTACTGGGTTCACCTGGCAACCAATTTAAAACTGAGCTTTCTCCTTCCCTCCCTCCATGGACACCCATAAGCCTCTCCTTCCCTTGGCAACACAAACAGTAGCCTATATCATTCCTCCATTACCACATGCAGCCCATCGTTAGAGAGCTTTTATTATGGCTGCACGGGCTCTCCAGGCTAATTAAAGCCAGACTGTTTACTAGGGCCCACGGAGGTGGACCCCGCCCTCAGCCCTTATTGGACGCCCGCTTTACACTACCACTCTCTCTTCTCATGATGGCTAACATATGCTGAGAGACAGACTTTTAACAGTATGTACAGTGAACCATGCTCCTGCATTGCTTCATAGTTAGGGGGTGGGATTATTTTGTCAGAATTGTTCTTCGACTGGTTTTAGAGAGAGAGTCACATGCATGCTGTATCAGCATTGGAACAATCCCAACGAACAATTGTAACCACCCTCCCTTTACTAAACAGATCATCTACTTGGACTGATTCTTGATGCGGCTACAGTTCCTGTAAGAATGAGAAGACAGATTATGTGAGCAATGGGATGTATGCAGACACGCTTGTGGCATTTCACACTGGGACTCTGCACCTAGGCTCAGTAGTGGACAGCTACAAACTAGGGATGTGACAAATGGAAAAACATTCTTAATGTTTAAACTCAGTTTTTCATTAAAACTATAAGAAATGTTTATAAAATTCCATGTGAATTGATAATGCAGCTGCCAGCAACAGTTTGGGTCTCATGAGATGAGCGAGATGCAACACTACTCTGTCACACACAGTATCTGCACAGGTTTGCTTCACACTGCTCACAGCGTGGTAGCCAGGGCACCAAAACAGTGGGGAAGTTGAGCCTCGTGCTTCAATGCTCCTAGCTGTTTTTCGGTTAGGGATTCTTAACATTAAGGATCTGCATTTTGTTGAAACATTACAATGTTTTAACGCTCACACCCCTAATACGGACTACAGCTTGTGTTCACTGGGGTGCAACGTGCAGAAGAGTAAGAAAGGAATAGGTTATATTATGGAAAACACATTCTTCTGTAATGTACATTAGGGAATCGTGTCTTATAATACAGTTCTATCTGCAATGCTAAGGGTCATGCCACGAGACTGACAATTTCTAAATCAAGTGTCAACTCCCTCCACCTGTGACACACTGCTGTGTAAATCAAAACACCTCTGAAAGTGCTATCCGGAAATCCATTATTGATTGAATACTGACCTTTGAGCAAAACTCTCAAATCAGCAAACCCAATCGAAAATTAGCATCATCCTTGTGCCACGATTCATGTGCTAGGGCTAATTCAAATCAGAAGGGCTTTGTCTGACCCAGCAGATATTGTCCAACCCATGGACACAGACTGGGCCGTCAATCTAATTGGACAAGAAGAGATAAATCTGCAACACTGTGCATTTTGAGAGCATTTTGCTTGACAGGATTACTACAAAGCTTACTACATCAACGGGAGAGAAAAAAGCCTTTAAAAATCAGCCCAATTGAAGACTGAGGCCAAAGAAAACAGACATCATCTCACCTTGAAAACGGGTGTACCCAAGTGTTTCACCACGGAAACTTTTGTAATACTTCACTCCATAGACGATGATTGGTCTACGAAGAATGTGTGCAAGAACAAAAATATGAGTCTGCTCCAGGCTGGCTCCAGGCTGTAGAGAGAGAAACAACACAAAGAGAGAGGCACGTCAAACTACCTTTGTGGTGCATAGCTGCAAAATATACTATTAGGATTTGTGCTATTACTTACTATTAGCTGTTAGGCTAACCTGATTGGACGTACATCCAGCAATACTGTAAGCCGGAGTCTTAAAACCATGCCTTTATACCATAAATATGTGATCAAGAATAATTTGATTGTTAAAAAGAAAACCTTAAGTCAATGCCTCTGTTGGTTCTACATCTTAAATGATTAATATAGTAGAGGAACAGTTGAGGTTACACAACTGTCAAATAAAAATGACAGTGGGGGCTCTCATACACTGGGGTTTTCTATATGGTCAGAGCAGTATGGCATTGCATAATTCATGGGCAGTAAATGCTTTTCATATTTTAGCATATTACAGTACAGATGTAGGATCTTAATTTCACCTACATTGTCACAGCCAAATAATCCTGCAGCAACAGGATTTGAACGTTTAGTCTATAATGTTGCTTGATCAGTGGTTAGGCTTTTAGCAGCCCAAAAGTAGGTTCCATGAAAAGTGCAATACTGTTATTATAACCTTGTGTTAGAGTGGGTTTTCAGAATTTATGTAAATCACAAAGCTCATCTGCATTTTCTGCGGTGCAATCTTTTTTATATATAATTCTCAACAAAACAGTGATCAAATTAAGATTCTACATTTGTACACTGCTGATTCCAAGTCAAGTCCTTCCACCTAAAAAGCTTAAAGCTTTATGTATGTATGTATGCATAAGGAAATTAGTGAGTGTGTGTTTGTGTACCTGGCTGGCCAGTGAGAGGATGAAAGCCCAGTCTTCCTGCCACTGTTCCTCCCTGAGTGAGAAATGCAAGCCGAAGCTTTGGGAATACCATGACTCCCACTCCTTCCAGCGCGTGTAGAACCTAGACAGACAGAACACACGTCAGTGACCCTCTGTTTTGTTTTGTGTGTGTGTGTGTGTGTGTGTGTGTGTGTGTGTGTGTGTGTGTGTGGGGGGGGGGGGGGGGGGGGGGGGGGGGTAGAACAGCTTTAATATTGCAGCTAGATTGTAGCTTCCATCACTGTAATTGTCTGCATCAAAGTGATGCAGTCAAAAGTTTGGACACACCTACTCATTTTTATTTATTTTTACTATTTTCTACATTGTAGAATAATAGTGAAGACATCAAAACTATGAACAAACACATATGGAATCATTTAGTAACCAAAAAAAGTGTTAAACAAATCAAAATGTATTTTATATTTGAGATTCTTCAAATAGCCACCCTTTGCCTTGATGACAGCTTTGCACACTCTTGGCATCCTCTCAACCAGCTTCACCTGGAATGCTTTTCCAACAATCTAATGATTCAATCTCTTCGCAGCAAAATCTGCAGAGCTGGGAAGGTTGTATTCCCCATATAAATTACATTCTTTTGGTTGCAAGAATGTTGTATAATAATTTAAATAGAAATTTATACATTTTGAATCCGGCGTCGTTTTGCTTATCAGTTCATAAACCATGTGCCATGGAATCAGTACGTCAAAAATCTCTTCCCAACAATTTTGTAATCTATATGGCATGGCTGTCAATCTTTGGACCTTGAATGAAACTGGTATATTTATTTATTTATCACAATTTTCTTTAACCAATTATGGTCTTTAATGCAGGGCCGACACACAAGTTCCTTACTTTTTCCCCCTACCACATTCCTCTTCCATTCTTGCAGTAATGCTGCAATTTGTTGGTTGTAATTTTGGGTAGAGCAGATATTTCCATATGTTTTTGTTAGCTGCATGTGCGACATAACTCCACCAGTCCTACCTATGATATAATTTACGAAGATTATACTTTTTTTTTTAAATAATCCTAATATCATTGTTTTTTATCAATTAGTATATTTGAGTTTAATCACAATATTTGTTGTATTATTTGTTCTGTAGTTTCTGGTGGATGAAATTGTAATTGCAACCAACTTTCTTTGGCTTGTTTTAGAAATGGTGATATTTGGGAGATTATTTCCTTTTCAGATAACTGAAAGTGAGAGGTTGTAATCTGAATAAAGGGGAAAAAGGCCATTCTTGAACATAGGGTGAGACATTCTTACTAATTTGCTAGAGAACCAGTTTGGATTTAAGTATGGTTACTCAAATGCTTTAAACCCTTTTGCAATGAGAACGGTTGTCCTTTTTCCACAATTAAATAATTGGTTTGCATAAACAAACATAGCCTTCTCATCCTATCCCCATGCCCAGACAAAGTCACACCCCAGACCCAGGCCTCACCAGTGGGAGCAGTTGTGCAGGGTGTCGTGAAGGGTCTTGCGGAGGACAGAGTCCTTGTCATAGATGCCCCAGGTGGCCTGCAGTACTGAGTCTAACAGGCAGTCCCCGGCCGTGCGGTTCCACAGGGCATACAGCCTGCTGTCCAACCGCGTTCCTAGCTCTATAGACCAGTTGATGATGGGAGACTCCTCCTCCAGCTCTGAGAGAGAGAGGGAAAGTGAGGCTTTCAAAGGGCACTCTTTGGTTTTACATGGTGTGCAGGCTTTTGTTCCAGCCCAGAACTAACATCCCTGTTCAATTAATCAAGTCTTGTAATGTGTAGGGATGTACAGTGATTAGTGATGTGCAGTTCGCAAACTATTCATTCTTTTGTAACGACTCTTTACTGACTCGAGAGTCATGATTCGTTTTTCGTTCATTTTGTTGTTCGTTTGACCTCCTGGCCACGATTACAACAGAAGGATTAAGACGCGCTTCTCCAGCTCAGTGGCTCCGAAGACGTGCGCCGACCAACAACTCTAAAATAGATCATGCTGCAGGCAGCAATAACAGCATAGAGAAGAAAAAGACATGTTTAGAACTCATAATTGATTGCATGGTTCAAGAATAAATGGAATTGATTGATTCTTGAATTTTATGATAGAACCAAAACATACACTGTCTTTGCTATAAAAAAACCTGAGAACGAATCGTTTGGGGTGCTGCAGTTCGTTCAAGCAATGCATTCCACCAAGAGTCGTTCACAATCTTGTCCGTTTGCGGCCACAACTTTGTTTCAAATGTATACATAGCAATCAACAAATGTACACATTGTTTAAAGCACATTTTAAAAGTCTCAGTCACAAATGACAGCTCCATAAGCCCGTTATGGTGAACGACAACAGGCTTGTAGAATCATGACTCTTTCGAGTTTTCAGTTCATCATTTGAAATGAGTCTAAATATTAATTATTTTTACTGAATGAGTTGAAAAGATCCAAGTCAGTAAAAAGAGCTGAACTTCCCATCACTAACAGTGATAGCAAGGACACCATTGTGATGCTGGGCTTGCACTATGTACAACGACAAGGTGCGGATGGCTGAAGGTGCCACCTTGATTCTACATGACCGGTGATGGCACTGGAAAGGACCCCAGCATGATCATATTTCAAAGAGGGGATCGAGTGTGATGAAAAGTGATACACCTGCACTTGCAGCTTCATCATAGCAGAGCGAAAGACAGGAGCGTTTGGAGGTGACTAGGGTGACTTTGGTCACCTGGTCTTCCATACACTGGCTTGTTACCCTTGGTGTGCTAAACAGGTCACAAGACACCCTAGAGAGTGTGAGCAATCAGTGTGGAAAAGTACCATTGACGGCGTGTGGAGGAAGTACAGTCATTTACTAAAGGTACTGGAGGAAGTAGTCATTCACTAAAGGCCTCTACACAGTCTACGCAACGGATCCGACTGAGGTTTGTTTGCATTGCTCTCTACGTAGTTCTAAGTACTTTTGTGCGTCAGAATTTTTTTTACGCGACGCAAATGCCGTAGCTCCGTTTGCGTAGACTGTGAAATCACTGTGGAGAGCCCTTTAGGGATCAGTGAAATCCTAAAACTCAATTAGCATGATTAGCATGGATGCAAGCACACACGATAATGGCAGGCAAAATGGCAGGCAGGGAATAGACCTGTAATACAACACTATACAGCAGCCTTCTCATGTAGTAGAGAGGGGATAGGAAGCTATACAGATGCCACCCACTGTTGACTATGACAATGGTCTCTCGCTCACACACACACACACAAAATTCAGTAAAATAGTGGTATTGTACAGTGCCTTGCAAAAGTATTCATCCCCCTTGGCGTTTTTCCTATTTTGTTGCATTACAACCTGTAATTTAAATTGATTTTTATTTGGATTTCATGTAATGGACATAAACAAAAGTCAAAATTGGTGAAGTGAAATGAAAAAAATAACTTGTTTCAAACAATTCTAAAAAATAAATAACGGAAAAGTGGTGCGTGCATATGTATTCAACCCCTTTGCTATGAAGCCCCTAAATAAGATCTGGTGCAACCAATTACCTTCAGAAGTCACATAATTAGTTAAATAAAGTCCACCTGTGTACAATCTAAGTGTCACATGATCTCAGCATATATACACACATGAAATTCTTGAGGGAAACAGAGGTTCACCTTCCAGCAAGACAATGGCCCTAAGCATACTACTAAAGCAACACTTGAGTGGTTTAAGGGGAAACATTTAAATGTCTTGGAATGGCCTAGTCAAAGCCCAGACCTCAATCCAATTGAGAATCTGTGGTATGACTTAAAGATTGCTGTACACCAGCGGAACCCATCCAACTTGAAGGAGCTGGAGCAGTTTTGCCTTGAAGAATGGGCAAAAATCCCAGTGGCTAGATGTGCCAAGATTATAGAGACATACACCAAGAGACTTGCAGCTGTAATTGCTGCAAAAGGTGGCTCTACAAAGTATTGACTTTGGGGGGGTGAATAGTTATGCATGCTCAAGTTCTGTTTTTTTGTCTTATTTCTTGTTTGTTTCACAATAAAACAATATTTTGCATCTTCAAAGTGGTAGGCATGTTGTGTAAATCAAATGATACAAACCCCCCCAAAATATCCATTTTAATTCCAGGTTGTAAGCCAACAAAACAGGAAAAATACCAAGGGGGGTTAATACTTTCGCAAACCACTGTAAGTTACTGAAATTCACATGAAGTAAGTCAATATTTCACCTTTCTGTACATCTCGGTCTAGGACCTCGTCAAACAGTTTCTCCTGAACTGTTGGGGGCAAGTCCTCGATATCTGCAGACAAAAACACACAGGGTGGCATTCAATTGCTTGAGATACACAACACAAAAAAGACATGATACAGTTCATCATCCAAAAACTTCCCAAAAAGGGAAAGTTAGAGGGCAAGTATTTATTTGACAACAGTGAAATGAAATGTAGGGCTTGGAGAAGAAAGTGAATCCGTCTTCACCTCTTGACCTGCACACGCCTTAAAAACTAAGCCAGGCTGAAGTGATTAGGGTTTAATATCCTGAGGTTGCAGGAGTCAATGCTGCATTGTAACTCTACAAGCTGACGTCTCTGCAAACTACAGACACCACATTTGACTGTTTTCTATCCAATGTTAAACCATGTTTTGTTTTGTGTTGCCTTTTCTTTCCACAATAAAGCTACAGGGCTACTGTGTGTGATTGGAGCCCTTGACAACAGTAGTGGCTATTCTTCAGCTCAATAAATGAATGCATTGACATTGTGCAACAGAACAGAGGGGCTTCTATAATGGCCAGAAGCCAATGCATCTGCATGCTTCCCAAATACTCTGCATACCAGACATCACTGCTTATCAGCCCTGCAGTTCTCGTCTTTAACCACAACGTAGCCTATTTCTCAAGTAGGAATTCAACTAAAATAGCTGTAGACTCAACCTTGCGTACCCTACCAAAAACGTTGTACCTATGGGCTCCAGACTAACTTTTCCCCCTGGTTTTTAAATTGGTGGCACCAGCATATGATTTGGTCACACCAAAGTTTTGCAGCGGCGTCACACAATAGAAAAAAGGAGTGGATTGGATTTTGAAATGTTATTTGATCAGAGAGTATTTTTGTTGTCCCGGAGCACTAATAGGGGGACAGGCCGTGAGTGGCTCGCTCATCACAGCAGCAGGCCCCAGCGAAACAGGCACAGGGCAGACACTTGCATTACAGGAATCATGAGGATAATGCTTTTTGACCAAATCATGGTTTTAGCCTCATAAAAAAAAAAAGAGTAAGTTTGGAGTGAAGTGATCATGTTGAATGTGCAGCTCGCACCGATGCGTCCAATTAAGTTTACTTGCACAGTCAAGTCAAAGGATTGCAAAATGTGACTAAATAGTTGCAGTTTGGAGCCTTGTGTTTTACCAAATCATGATTGTAGCCTCCTCAAAAACAGAAAATGTTGACAGAAATGACCAGCTAGAATTTGCAGCTCGCACAGATGCAAGCAATTCAATGTTTTACTCGCACAGCCAAGTCAAAGGGTGGAAATACGCAACCAAATCGCCACACAACAATACCCTAAGATGGTGCCAGGGAAAATATTTTTCTCAAGAGTAGTTGGAAACAACCATACCATTATGCAATTCCCTAACACAAAACATGTATTCTACCATCATATAGGCCTAAGACATGAAGCTTTAGTGTAGAAGAGCAGCAAAACAGTTGACGCCACATAACTATACACAGTAACTAGGCGAAATAAAACTACTGCAGAAGTATATAGTAGGTCAGAGGGAGGCTGACCTGCTGGCAGCGTAAAGGTGACCAGGTCAGTGAGGAAGTAGCAGGTGAAGTCTCCCTTGCGCTGCTGCAGGGAGGCAGCCACCTCACGGCGTATCTGCTCCGTCAGCTCAGGGCACACCATGGCTGGGATACACTTAGCTGCCTGCTGGGACACCTAGACCGAGACAGAGAATGTGACACAGAAATGATCAAATGTCTCCTACTGCAAATAAAACCCAGGTGAAACATTCAGAGTGTTGCAGAGAGAAATGTAATGAGTAGAATCCCTGACTCGATTCCCTGTTCAATCATATGTTTAACACAATCCATATCCATTTGAACGTTCAGTAACACTGCACCCTCCTGAACAGGCCCCAGGTAGACCCTGCCCTGTCCCGTCCTTCCTTAGGGGACATAATCCTGCCGGTCCTTCCAGGGCTCACACACACACTCACTGACCCTGGGATAAGAGCCTCCTGTCAGCAGCGGGATAAACTGGGATCATGTTTACGCACCCATCGATCTGCCACACATACACCACATCCCATCCACTATGTCGTCTCCCGGTAGATAGAGGTTAACAAAGCTCATCAGCGGTATCTTCAAAACATTGATAAGCAGAACCTAACTCAACCTGGAGATGGAGTGACTATTAACCAATACATTTAATCTACACTAACTGGTACAGCAGAATAAAGACAACGGTCTTTGACCTGTACCATTACAGCTAACACATTGGCAGGGCCTGTATGTCGTCCTGACCTCAGTGAGGAGCACGGCCAGCATGTCCTGCCTCTGGAAGCGGATGGCCAGGTGGACCAGGGTGAAGCCATCGTCAAAGGCAGAGGGCCGGTTGAGAAGACGCACCTCGTCGGACGTCAGCTGCCTGGCGATGTCCCCACCTGATGATTTATAGGCCTCTACTGCAGCCAGGTCCCCCTCTACCACACCTGCAGAAAGAGAGGAGGGGGAGGAGGGGGGGAATCAGTGAGGAGTTAAAAACACAAGCTACACAGCACACACTACATAAACTCAGTGTAAAGGTCACAAAACATTAGGAACACCTTCCTAATATTGGAGTTGCAACCCCTTTTGCCCTCAGAACAGCCTCAATTCATCGGGGCATGGACTCTACAAGGTGTTGAAAACATTCCACATGGATGCTGGCCCATGTTGACTCCAATGCTTCCCACAGTTGTGTCAAGTTGGCTGGATGTCCTTTGGGTGGTGGACCATTCTTGATACACACGGGAAACTGTTGAGCGTGAAAAACCCAGCAGCATTGCAGTTCTTGACACACTCAAACCAGTGCTCCTGGCACCTAAAACCATACCCCGTTCAAAAGGCACTTAAATCTGTTATCTTGCCCATTCACCCTCTGAATGGCACACATACACAATACAATCTCAACGTTTAAAAATACTTCTTTAACCTGTATCCTCCACTTCATCTAGACTGACAGAAGTGGATTTAATAAGTGACTTCAATAAGGGATCATAGCTTTCACCTGGTCAGTCTGTCATGGAAAGTGCAGGTGTTCCTAATGTTTTCTACACTCAGTTTATCTGTACATTGGACGTGGTGGAAATTCTTAGAGTTTGCCCAATCATTTGTAGGCTATTCCTTGCCAAAACCACATAGACACTGCGGTAGTTTTACTACTACAGTACTGAAACAAAAACACCATTTGAAAAAGAACAACATTATAGAAAGTGTGGGGGAAGATAAAAGTAGAGAACATTTCCAGTGCTACTACCAGCCTCATCATTTTCCGTCTGATTTCTGGAATACCCATGCAGCAGTCTCTGGCATATTTCACAACATTACTCCCTGGCTAACTATTGTTTAACACTCAAAAAGGGCCACACTCACACACAAAATGCTTTGAAGCATAATCAGTATTCAGACTTCTTCCCCTTTTCCACATTTTGTTACATTACAGCCTTATTGTAAAATAGATCAAAAGTATTTGATCCCCTGCTGATGTTATTGCCCACTGACAAAGACATTATCAGTCTCATAGTAATGGTAGGTTTATTTGAACAGTGAGAGACAGAATAACAACAAAGAAATCCAGAAAAACGCATGTCAAAAATGTTATAAATTGATTTGCATTTTAATGAGGGAAAAAAGTATTTGACCCCTCTGCAAAACATGACTTACTACTTGGTGGCAAAACCCTTGTTGGCAATCACAGAGGTCAGACGTTTCTTGTAGTTGGCCACCAGGTTTGCACACATCTCAGGAGGGTTTTTGTCCCACTCCTCTTTGCAGATCTTCTCCAAGTCATTAAAGGTTTCAAGGCTGACGTTTGGCAACTCGAACCTTCAGCTCCCCCCTCAGATTTTCTATGGGATTAAGGTCTGGAGACTGGCTAGGCCACTCCAGGACCTTAATGTGCTTCTTCTTGAGCCACTCCTTTGTTGCCTTGGCCGTGTGTTTTGGGTCATTGTCATGCTGGAATACCCATCCACGAACCATTTTCAATGCCCTGGCTGAGGGAAGGAGGTTCTCACCCAAGATTTGACGGTACATGGCCCTGTCCATCGTCCCTTTGATGCGGTGAAGTTGTCCTGTCCCCTTAGCAGAAAAACACCCCCAAAGCATAATGTTTCCACCTCCATGTTTGACGGTGGGGATGGTGTTCTTGGGGTCATAGGCAGCATTCCTCCTCCTCCAAACACGGCGAGTTGAGTTGATGCCAAAGAGATCCATTTTGGTCTCATCTGACCAAACACTTTCACCCAGTTCTCCTCTGAATCATTCAGATGTTCATTGGCAAACTTCAGACGGGCCTGTAAATGTGCTTTCTTGAGCAGGGGGATTTTGCGGCCGCTGCAGGATTTCAGTCCTTCACGGCGTAGTGTGTTACCAATTGTTTTCGTGGTGACTATGGTCCCAGCTGCCTTGAGATCATTGACAAGATCCTCCCGTGTAGTTCTGGGCTGATTCCTCACTGTTCTTATGATCATTGCAACTCCACGAGGTGAGATCTTGCATGGAGCCCTAGGCCAAGGGAGATTGACAGTTCTTTTGTGTTTCTTCCATTTGCGAATAATCGCACCAACTGTTGTCACCTTCTCACCAAGCTGCTTGGCGATGGTCTTGTAGTCCATTCCAGCCTTGTGTAGGTCTACAATCTTGTCCCTGACTTCCTTGGAGAGCTCTTTGGTCTTGGCCATGGTGGAGAGTTTGGAATCTGATTGATTGATTGCTTCTGTGGACAGGTGTCTTTTATACAGGTAACAAGCTGAGATTAGGAGCACTCCCTTTAAGAGTGTGCTCCTAATCTCAGCTCGTTACCTGTATAAAAGACACCTGGGAGCCAGAAATCTTTCTGATTGAGAGGGGGTCAAATACTTATTTCCCTCATTCAAATGCAAATCAATTTATAACATTTTTGACATTTTTCTGGATTTTTGTTGTTGTTATTCTGTCTCTTACTGTTCAAATAAACCTACTATTCAAATTATAGACTGATCATTTCTTTGTCAGTGGGCAAACGTACAAAATCAGCAGGGGATCAAATAATTTTTTCCCTCACTGCAAGTCGTTTTTGGGGTATCTGTACATTACTATTGATCTTTTTGACAACTTTTACTTCACTACATTCCTAATTAAAAGAATGTACTTTCTACTCCATACATTTTCCCTGACACCCAAAAGTACTCATTACATTTTGAATGCTTAGCAGGACAGGAACATGGTCTAATTCACCTACTTAAAAAGAGAAAATCCCTGGTCATTCCTACTGCGTCTAATCTGGCGGACTGATTAAACACAAATGCTTTGTTTGTAAATTATGTCTGTGTTGGAGTGTGCTCCTGGCTATCCCATTTTAAAAAATTAACAAGAAAATTGTGTCGTCTAGTTTGCTTAATATAAAGGAATTTGAAAGGATTTACCCCTTTACTTTTACTTTTGATACTTAAGTATATTTGAGCAATTACATTTACCATTGATCCTCAAGTATATTTAAAACCAAATACTTTTACTCAAGTAGTATTTTACTGGGTGACTTTCACTTTTACTTGAGTCATTTTCTATTAAGGTATCTTTACCTTTACTCAAGTATGACAATTGGGTACTTTTTCCACCACTGATGACAGCCTGCTTGTAGTTTGCCAAAAGGCACCCAAATGACTCTCATATCATGAGAAACAAGATTCTCTGGTCTGATGAAACCAAGATTGAACTCTTTGGCCTGAATGCCAAACGTCCCTACGGTGAAGCATGGTGGTGGCAGCATCATGCTGTGGGGATGTTCTTCAGCGGCAGGGACTGGGAAACTAGTCAGAATCGTGGCAAAGATGAACGGAGCAAAGTACAGAGAGATCCTTGATGAAAACCTGCTCCAGAGTGCTCAGGACCTCAGACTGGGGCGAAGGTTCACCTTCACACATGCCAACGACCCTAAGCACACAGCCAAGACAACGCAGGAGTGGCTTCGGGACAAGTCTCAATGTCCTTGAGTGACCCAGCCAGAGCGCGGACTTGAACCCAATCGAACATCTCTGCAGAGACCTGAAAATAGCTATGCAGCAACGCTCCCCAGCAACGCTCCCCATCCAACCTGATAGAGCTTGAGAGGATCTGCAGAGAAGAATGGGAGAAACTTCCCAAATACAGGTGTGCAAAGCTTGTAGCGTCATACCCAAGAAGACTCGAGGCTGTAATCACTGCCAAAGCTGCTTCAACAAAGTACTGAGTAAAGTGTCTGAATACTTATGTAAATATGATATTTCAGCTTTTTTAATAAATCTGCAAAGATTTTATAGAATACTGTTTTTGCTTTGTCATTATGGGGTATTGTGTGTAGATTGATGATGGAAAAAAACTATTTAATCAATTTTAGAATAAGGCTGTAACGTAATAGAATGTGGAAATATTCAAGGGGTCTGAATACTTTCCTAATGCTCTGTATATGGGTGTGTGTTTTAGCTGCAGTAAAAAGTAGAAACATGGAGAAAGGAACCAAGACAAAAAGTGAGTGGGAGGACTAACTGTGCTGTTCGGAGCTTGCCAGAGAGTAATAAAGAGAGAGGGAGAGAGAGCTCAGACAGGAATGTGAGAGACAGGACCACAACCACTTCTCACAGCAGTCCATTAGTGGGTGTGCCTGCCAGCCGTCCTGCACTCACACATCATTTACAGCACACATACACAAAACATTAGGAAGGAAATGGATACAAAAGAGTTGCTCTATATTTGGAAGGGTGGAGAACATTGAAAAATATTGAAGACAGAAAATGAATGAACGTGCTCATTTCCCCCCACAGAAAATGTCCATGTAACGGGCCTTTTCAAATCAATTTACATCCATAAATGTTGTTGATGTGATATTGATATGCAATTTAGCAGACCCTTTTATCCAAAGCAACTTCGTTATGCATGCATCAATTTTTACATATGGGTGGCTCTGGGAATTGAACCCATAATCCTGACGTTGCAAGCCCCATGCTCTACCAACGGAGCTACAGAGGACCATTGTTGTAAATTAGCATCAGCAATCTAGGTACATGTAGGTGCAGATCAGTAGGCCTACACTAAACACAGAACACTCAGAAGATAAACTACAACAACATTCTTATGACCGCATGGAGTTACAGTGGGGGAAAAAAGTATTTAGTCAGCCACCAATTGTGCAAGTTCAACCACATAAAAAGATGGAGAGGCCTGTAATTTTTATCATAGGTACACGTCAACTATGACAGACAAATTGAGAAGAAAATAAATCCAGAAAATCACATTGTAGGATTTTTTATGAATTTATTTGCAAATTCTGGTGGAAAATAAGTATTTGGTCACCTACAAACAAGCAAGATTTCTGGCTCTCACAGACCTGTAACTTCTTCTTTAAGAGGCTCCTCTGTCCTCCACTCGTTACCTGTATTAATGGCACCTGTTTGAACTTGTTATCAGTATAAAAGACCTGTCCACAACCTCAAACAGTCACACTCCAAACT